ACAGTACAAGAAATGCAGAGGTCGAAAATCTGGGAGACATAATCTCAGCGATACAAGTTTTCTAGAAGATTAGAATACCATTACGAAAATCCAAACATGAGAATAAACCTGGATTGTGGTAACGAATAGAATTCTAGATGTATCCTCAAAAGACACACTCAGATTGTTGGTATCATGGGTTCACTGAGTTGATCAAATGGAAACAGCTTCCCATGTTAGTTTAATTTCTAAATGATTTTATATATTTTCAATCCGTGATCAACCCGTAAAATATTTACATGAATTTTTGTATTCAGCTTAATCGTAGGAAAAAAGGAGGGGTGTCTGCAGTTTTCTTAGCTCGTCTGGAGGTTAGCAGGTATTCATAGGCGACAATGTCCAGATATCTCCTCCACAACGAGCACTTTAGTTAATTTGATCAAGGTTTGACCAAACAGTTTTCCACTTTTTGAAACGTGGATACATGTGGTAGTCCCATTTGTATAAACGTGAGTGATATTAAAATTAAAATGGTTCCAAAATTTTGCACGTGAAACCTGCTCGAAGGTCTTCGACATTATGATCAAGATAAAATCTAAAAAGCTATAAATGAGTGCGAATTCATATATTGCATTCAGAACTCAAACCGAATCATGACTTAGTTAAAATAGTCGTTGAAGAATAATTATTATAAGTAGTATTTCGCCAGACACTGTGAGCTGTTTGTGTCTAGGTCTTTATCTTGTTGTCGACCCTAATTAAATATTTCAGAATCAAGGATATAAGGATGCAAATGCGTGTATCTGAAACAATGAGATGCTTGCAATTTAAGAATGATGTTTTACTAACCAGAATCTTCCGAATTAAAAACATGGGTATCAAGATGATTGCATATTGTGATGTGAATAGGTTCGTTTCCGAAGAAAACTCTGGTGAAGTGTCATCATAAACCTTCCTGTGCACATTTCGAACTGCTAACTATTTTACGAATCCTGGGTTTCATTAGCACGCTTGCTGATATTTTCACTACACACAACTATGACGAGAAGGATTAATAGTCATAACGTTCATTCCTTTAGATGATTCACATAATTTCGCTAGAACCTAGACATGAAAATTTGTTGGTCAAACGTATTTCACGTTTTGCAGAGATCTAGGCATTCAGTAATTAACAGGACGGTGTTAGGTCACGTGTTGGATGTAGATTCTATGGCCAAAGACTCAATAACCAACCTAACATTCCACCCTCCTATGTTACTCTTTCGAATTTCATCCTCTCCCACCCTATTGTGTGATCGTGTGTTAATGTATGCAGTGCAGTTGCCGAGCTTTCCTCTAAATCACTTTTCTTCGCGGAGTCAATTATTCCACATTTAGCTTAGTTCTTATATTCTGATAGTGTGACTGCCCCAAATCTATTCGTATGACTTATATCACTGACCTCACCGTCATTTGAAGAGTGTTGTAAACTATGCTATTTTGTCTAATTGGGTCAACCTGCAAGGTCGCTGAGTGAGTTTGTACGTTTAAATATAGCCCTTATTCCTGCTTTATTCAAAAATCATACACAGGATTTCATATGTCCCACTCTTATATGGTAAAATTTTGGTGCCTTATATACTATCTTCTTCATGTCTGGACTGTAATTTTCACCATATTTTATTTCGCTTTTTACTTTAACTGATCCTCCTGATGAATTTTATAGGATAGTTATTTGACACCAACGGTTCTTCTGTCTGTTTTATTTCACCATTTAGATTTTTTGTTGCAATACTAAGTGCTATTGTTCGATTCCTTAGACATTTAACTGAGCCTGCCGTAACAGATAACGGCGAAGATTAACTAAAGTCTAAATATCTCTCAAAATACAACGGGATACATCTTTCAGTGGGACATACAACGAAAATTAAACTCCTCTCCACAACAAAAATAAGCTGATTGATTAGCCTAGTGAATATCTACTTTACAGAACCAAATAACCTGAAACGATCAGCCAGAATATTTTGAATAAAACAGCAAGACTGCAAGGCAGATGAACAAAACAGATTAAATTCAATTATGAGTAAAATTTATTCATTTATTTCTGATAAAGTATTTATACAGTTATATCAAATGATGACGTTTTGAGCACAAGTTATTGCTCATATCTTCATATGATAACAAGCAACCAATTGTGCTCGAAACGTCATCTGTAAACGTTACTGTATAACACTGTGATACCATTTCAAAATAAATTTTATCCATAATGGAATTATACTCTATTACAGTGCACAAGTTTTATTCTTAAATCAATAAAACAGATTAAAATTGAAAAAAGTTCGAAAAAACACATGAAAACATGCAGTAACCTGAAGATATGTAGTGTTACGAGACTGTTTCAAAGTATCCTTGGAGACGCTCCTTGTATTTCAGAAACAAACTGACTCACTTGTTGCGAGAATCGCCTTACTTAGAAGCGCAAAAGGTGACAAAGAATTGAAGACCCATTTGAAGACTCGAAGCAATGCCAGGTTACCAAGGCTATTCTAGAGTTGGTGCTATTTAGTTAAAACTTGGATACCATATACAGATAATACTACTGAAGAGAATGTGTGCACCGGAAACATAAAAATATGTGGGAAACACATGGAAAGTTTTCACATTAAGTACAACCGAGAATATTCTACATTTGACAGAGCGTCATCCCAGCATGAGTAACTCATGGAATCAAGTACCTAATTGATAAAATCTAATATCAACTTAAAACTTGACAGGAAGAAAATCCCTGAGAGCATTCACATCATGAAGAAATTTTTGTGGAGTGATGTAGATGTTAGCTGTTTATACTTAGCAGACATACTTGTGAATACTTTTTCACATGAAAAGTGCTATTTTCACTCGACATTGTCCCTTAGAGGAATGTATCTTTAATTTGCTGAGCTAAGCATCGATGAGAAGATTCGGATGTGAACACTAGTCTCAAACCAGTGTCTCTGTAAGCTTTAGATAATGGCTTTGTCATTGAAAGCGTTCCCAACAAGCTTTTATCTGCAGCAGTTCACTTACGTGAAATTTATAGATAATTTTGGCACACAGCCTGATGATCGAAGTGAATACAGGAGTGAGAGAAGTCTGCCTTAATGTCAGAAAAATTTTGAACATTAAGGAATGGACCGAATAAGGCACAGATATATTTCTATGGTTTACACACAACGATGTTTTGTTGTTGATAATATTTTTGAGCAAATCACCAGTTTGGAAGTCTTCTGCACTGAGTCAGCATCAACAATAAGATTCCAAAACAAATGTGATGTCAGTCAGTGAGCTCCTCTTTACAGATCAGTAGCTTTATCAATGGGGTGCCTCCGCTGGCTCCATACTGAAAATCAAATGGCTGGCCAGAAACAATTAGTAACAAGAAACTCTGGCAACAAATATGCAGGAGAAAATGGAGATAGATCGGGATACTTTGTGGAGGCCGTTAAATGACATCGCGCACCAGGTCGTCGAGTCGGATCCAAATGGGATATAACGAGTGTATCGTCATACGATAAGGAGGAGATTGTCTGAAGAGGATGAGACCAGAGATAGGACAAAGTGGAGATGTGTTGCTGAAGCCCTAGGTTCCACTCGGAACCTATAGAAATAATAATAGTTGAACTGAACCTATTTACTGTGGCTCACCAGTAAGTGTATCGCTAGTGCGAATTTCATAAGCTTACCCGAACAGGCGTTTAACCATGGAACCATTGCACTGAATAGGAACGAAACTGTTGAAATGAAAGTATTGTAAACATCATGCATTCTTGCGGAATACGGATATCACTCCGAAATATTTCGCTTACCTTCTTAAATTTCATATATGTCTTTAGGATTAGTTAGACTACTCTTCCAACATTTGCTTAATCATAATTACGTAGCCAATCTATTGACAAACGTACTTAATTTCACTCGATAATTACACATTTCTCACGATCCAGACAAGCCTAGCCTAGAAATAATTATATCGATGACAGGCTACTTTATTTAAGTAATTTTTATTATGCAACTAAAAGTGAAAATGAATGCGAATTGTATGTAGAAATTCATCTGCTTGATTTATGAAGATGAACATGTGTGATGGCGATACCTTGAGGAACTTGAATTCACCTGGTGCTGCACAGTCTTTGTTGATCTCTCTCTAATCTAATGTTTATCGGGCTTTCATGTATGGTAAGATTATACTATCGGTGGCACAGCGGTAAGGACAATCACTGACCATGCACATGGTCAGGTGTTGGAGGCACACGTGATATCAATAGTCGGCCTGCAAAATTTGAGCTACTTATATCACATGCTGAAAATTCCAAACTTGTATCAAAATTACTGTGTGAAATCAAGCTATAATAAAAAAAATATGTTGTGTCAGCTATTTTAATAAATTATTTAAAAAATCATAACCACCGAGGCATAAACATGATGTTTAATCAGTATTCACTTCATATTTCTTCTTCCGTTCTCTCTTGCATATTTTTTATTCAGGATCATTTATTCTTGACTTGAACAGTTGAGATTTGTTCGTTACCCAACTCAGATAACCTTACGTGGCGTTGTATTGTTTTATACTGACCTACAGTGACAACGTAGCTGACGGCATACAGCGTAGACACCTCATAATAAGAGCTTTGTAAATTCAACCTATTCAGTGTATGTGTACAATGGTGTTCTAATTTATAAAAATCCTAAAATTTGGATTTTACACTTAACTCAAAAATTCGGTTTAATTAATTGAAAAATTGTTTACAAATTATCGTTCCGAATTTGTTCAAAGAAAACTTCAATTTTATTTTTCACCTCAATATTCGGTTTTATTAGGAAATCCAAATATATGAGAAACACAGTTAATCTGTTCAATATGAAGTTACCTTTGTACTCCGTAAACCTTTGAGCTATTGATAGCATAAATTCTGTTTGAAAAAATAATTCACCAATAGTAAGACCAACTTGTTGTAACTCTGCAATCCACTCCGAAATTTTACTTTAATGTGTGTAAAGACTTCACGAATAAGGCTGAGTTTCAAAACAGAATATGATAACTTTGTGTACTCAATATTGATTTCGATCACCTCGAACAAGGTCATATTATATATATATATATATATATGCGAACCCACATGAATGTTTTCAAGGGCGAATATATCTTAAAGCAAGAGTTACTTCAGCGAGTGAGTTATACCCATGTCATCTGTACTAGTTATGTTTGAATCAGTTCATTCCTGAGTCTAGTTTAAAATGTATAAATAGAAGGTATAGATTATTGTTTACTGTTGATCAGAGCTGACAGGCTTCATTCCATGAAAGACAAGCAGTAAAGGTTAATATGCCGAGATTTAATGATTTCATAGATCGTCAGTAGAGCTCTTCGGCTAAACACCCTGCACAAAAGGATATTCACACCATTAGATGTAACTCAGGAGACATCAGTCTGATAAGCTAGTGAACTACATTGAACCAATCATGGAACACGACAAGCGTGAATATGTTTCAAATCATGTTCACATAGGCAAGTACAAAGTAGTTGCGGCTTCGGTACATCAATTAAATGAACAATTAGTCATCAGAAAAAGAATTTAAATCTATAAAGAATCGCAAACTGATAATAATAGTAGTGGTAGTAATAATAGTGATATTAATAAAAACGTTAAAACGAGTTAAGACAGTGCCTCTGATAAAAGATGGCTTTAGACGAATCAGGAATAATAATGAGGTATAATGAAACAAAGGACTAATAATAGTAATAACTGTTAATGAGTAAAACATTGTAGATCCAGAGGGAGAAACATTCTCTTATATACGTTGAGACCGGGTATATAAAATCTAACTGCACAAGCCGCAACCACCACAAGCATTTTCTTGATTTTGTTTGTTGGCTGAAAATAGTCACAGACTTGAGGCAGCCGCCATCATGTCCACAGTCTACAAGATCGCTTATTACTAAACGTTTTAATATAGTGATTTTAACTTTTTTCAACTTGCTTCTCAAATCTTCCATCATTATAATACAGAGTCACTTTTCGGCCGGACCCACCAATTTATTTCAAAACAGATTCTAGCCGAAGATTCTCTGTTTCAAAGTTTGATGGATGGCAGCCGTTCTCTCCCAGATTTTTGAAGCACCTGTTTGATGATACTGAGGAAAACGAGTTTCGTAGCACCATAAATTATATCCGTAGTTTCATGAAGCCACTTATTCTATTTATACAACGAATATTTCAGTTGACAAAGAATGGAAATCATGTTTTCAAGAATTCTTAGTACGTCGTATGAATGGAGCAAACAGCTAACTGTGAGTCTACACTTCAGTGACTTAGCGCTGAGGAGAATGCTACTCAAATTTCTGATCACCAATCTAGTAGAAGCGGGTCAAAGTTAATTGCTATATTTACAAAAAAAGGGAATTCAACTGAATGAAATTAAACTGATTCTTATGGAAAACAAAATTCGTTTAGTGATTTCATCGTCATTACAAGCCTGACGTTCTTCCCCTTCACTAACCTGCAGTTTTATCCACAGATTCCAGAACATTCCATCATGGTACATTCAGTTGCATCTTACGTTAGTCCAAAGCGTAGGAGTAGGGAGACACAAAAACTCATTTTCGACAACTCCATTTCGGTAAGATAAACATGATTTGTTACATATTTCTTTTTATGCATAGATCTTTCTCTATGTGTTATTTATGGTGACGGTGGCAGTCGGTTTGGTCGTCTTGTTTACTGCTTTGTAAGACTGAAATACGGGAGATAATAAAATATTATCTCGCTTTTTAGGCCGAGGATACCCGATTATTTCATGGTTCACGTCTATATGGTGTATATTATGATGTTAGTTGTCCACTTAATATAATAATTTTTCGTTGATTTAGTTATCCTTCCAACAGATGGCGAGTGTAATTCACCGACAGTACATTATCATTCGTTTTATCTAATCTGTCACATGCCGATGACCATTGTGATCCTTAGTATAAAGAAAGAAATTCGCACACAATTTATTTCACAGCATTTTATAAAGTAGATCATTTGATCAATTTGTCTGACAGAATCTGTGATAGGCAATTCGGTGTTCACATTAATGAAGAAATCCCACGGTTAGACATAAACAACTTGACAACGCTTTTACACCACCCACAATCAATCTGCTGATTGATTTCGTAAAGATATATTGACAGATAATAGATAAGCGACTAACTTTTTTGACTCTGGTACTGTATTCATATTTAGAGTAGCTCGCTTCTGCATTCTTTATATTTCGACTGATCTATTAGACTTCAGGTTTGAGGCTTTAAAGTTTCCGAAGCATTTGTGATATTTTATAAGAGATCAGTTTGCTAGTCTCATACACAACTTTCTTCTATCACTCGCCTACTACTAGCTGTTAAACTGGGGAAGGATAACAGGTACGCTGATTGCAAATTGAATACCAAAACACTTGCTCGGTTGGTGGGCATTCCAAAACTGGCTCACGACACCTACTATTTATTGCTCATATAAAGTGTTCGACTATACAGTTAGATTGTATAACACACGCCCACTAATATTATGTGAAATTAGGATGATTTTCGTGAATATTATTTCATAAATTATCTAATTTATTTTCAAATCTACTATGACGTATGTTGGTCAAGGAATTTTCGTCATGAAAAGGAATTTTTCCTAAACCAGAAACCAGGAATTGAAATATAAATTCATGTATGCAATTGACGAATACAAGACAGATTATCTTCAGTAAATGTTCACTGTAACTGAGATCAAATTTGATAGTGCTATATGTGAATAAACTGAAGGATTTACCTTATTAGTAATAATAATCCTGGATCGAGTGCAGAATGTTCCATTCACTGAAGATTAGGTTTTATTATTATGATATGTATTGAATTTGTCACATTATGAATTATTCCAACTATATGTTGGTTAACATGAATTCTTGATTTTTGCGAATTCATTTCAGACTACTTGTGGCCATTCTCTTACTTTTTTCATTATTTGTGGAGAAAATCCGTTTGAGTTTTCTCGGTGTTGAAATAACGCTTTGGAGTGTAGTAAGTATCGGTATTACACTGTCTTGCAATAAGTTGTCAGAATTTATGACAGTGCGTGTGAAAAATAAGACGACTGGTGCGTTAGTTTAAAAATCTCTGTTCTTTAATATTATGAAAGTATGAGAAGAGGTGTGAGGAAGAAGGAATCCGTCACGCCAGCCACTTATGAGTTCACAAAAGCAAATGAAACTGAAGAAAGCACAATAAACACTAGTCTGAACGTAAATATGACCTGGAGATTCACCACCTCCCAACTTATGTGGCAGTGATAACACGTTTATTTTTGCGATCAACTTAGAAGGTAGATAATCTATATACATTAATTAATTAGATCTCACTTTTGAACTCACTACTTCATCAGGTTATTAAATATTTACACTGTTATTCCATTCTCGATGCACCTGATATGGTGACTGGAATGTATATTGCCATTTTACAAAGGTAACTGTTATTGACAATTATACGAAATTAAACACCTTTTTGAATTCCATACCATAATGTGCATCCACATTCGAAATATTATCACCTCACTTATGCTGCCCACCACATAGACTGGTTTCATGTTAAACGAATAGTTATTTTCTGTATTTCATGATGGTAACAATGCCATTGCCCATATTTTATAACGAAGGAGGGAAATGTTGCATTTGAAATGTGCCTAAATTTCTACGTGCAACTTTATTTATCAGATTTAATTACTTATTTTTTATTGTCAATGTTATCGTGATACAGATCACATTGTGGTCTTTGGTCTTCGCCACTATTTTCTCTCCTGTTAAGTGTAAATGTGCTCTGATAGCATTAGGCGTGACAATTATGCTCACGTTTGTGACAGTTGTGGTGGCTTTCAATCTGCCGACTTGAATCAAAAGGGGTTTATCGTTTTCTTTGTAATATCAGCCGTCCTTGGAGTTTTAGCTATCGTTGGAAGGATCTGTTATTACTTCATCTCTGGATTAAAAGATGTAAGTCACGTTAATTTATATCATGTGGATTTTCATATTATATTTATGAAATGGAATGAAATCTCCACATCATATAAAAGTAATGTGTTGCCTAAGACATTAGCTAATAGCGCTAAGTGCAGTAGACACTAAAATATCTGCTGAGCAAAATGAATTGGATACACGATCTGATGAACTCACTAAAATCAAAAATCGACACACACTTGAATTTTGATTAATTCGTTTCATAAGGGATTTTTAAGCTCACTGCCAAATTTAAATAGATGTTTTGCTGTAATAGAAATGTTGTCCTTAGTCTTAGGATCTGGTTATCCACTGAGCGCTAACGATTAGAAGAGGATTCATAAGACAGCTTCATAAATTTAGTAAAATATGCTGAATGACGTTCGTATACCTTCTGCCAATGTTACCTTCTGCTGTGATTATTGCTGTTTCCGTCAAGCTTACCCAGCTCCGATTCAAAACGGTGCTAAGTAGTTGAGATGCATTTTTATTTGATGTCACTGTGTTGAATGGAGGACATTTTGGGGAATATTTTGATTATTATCAATGCTAACCGCTAGCACTGTTACCTTCCGTATGTTTTCCGGTTTATAAATATACATGCAGCAGAGAAATTCGTGTTTCATTATGTGAATATGCCGCTCTCTTTCTGTATTTCTTAGAAACCGATAATCTGCATACTGCTAGCAGTTCCAGTAGCGTTATTCATACTCTCCGTAAGTTTTCATTAAATCAGCGTAATCAATACAATCAGATGTTCTTGTTAAATTGCACACAGCATTTCAGGTGCTTGGTGTTACTAGTATGCAGTGCAAATCAGTCGTTATATATTCACATGATATTAATTGGAGCCTTGTATAAAAGTGCCAATCGAAAGCAAATTAAATCTATATACGAATTTGAAAGCTTACTCTAAGTAATGTTGCACATGTTTCAGTAGATGCAAACCTGAATTACTAAGAAAGTAAATCAAACAGCATCATGTTTTCCTGTGAAAGATAATCCCTAAGCTTAAAACATTCTAATGATTTCCTTGTGTGTTGTAAGCATAAGAACAGATAGCCTTCCGGCTTTTCAAAAATTTCTGTATTTTATCGTCAATTTTATTCGATCATGATTCATAATTCTCATTACTGCATCTGATGGAGATTACAGAAGTTTCATGATCCCTTGTGAAACCGTCAGATTGAGACGAAGAATCATCTTTCAGAAACAAGCTATTTAACCAAACTGGTTCCTTAAGAATGACTAATGGTTTAAGGAAACACGCGATAATTTCTCAACCACATGGAAAGGTTAAAATACATTTGATCTCTAAATCTGAAATGAAAAGCTTGTATGAATTCTCATTATAAAAGCAGCAACAAAGTAGGCATGTTTATTTCAAGCAGATATCAATCAGGGCCGCCTGCTATAGATCAGATACTGCGAACGCATTGTTATTAAAATCCTCTAAGCGAATACTTGTCGAACATGATAAATAACAAGAGATCACACACACGTTACGTAAGTAAAATGTGAAAGTTAATTATACAGAAAGATAGCCTGTTATTGCAAGCATACATTTCAGGACATATGTGAAAATTTACTCAATTTTAGATTCCATGCTAACTACTCACGTTGATCTTACGGAAGTCACTTAAAACATGACGTGGAAGTTGACAGCAACTTCTTGAATTATTCAACAGTAGTTGAGGTGCGTAGACTTCACCTTATTTTATTGTTATCACAGTCATAAAAATTAGGGGGTTTTATCACTAGAGAAGAGGCATTTCCGAAAAATTTATGTTAATTTAAAATGGTCTTCTGTGTCTGAATCCGTTTTGCTACTTTCTACTTTAGGTGATGTTTGTTTCAGTCAGCATGCGCAAACGGATAATGTGGTGGTTTTCGCCTGAATCCATGGATTTAATTTTTACATTCGTCATTTGGTGTCAAATGATGAGCTTATTTGCACAAATTTATTCCAGCCTAGAATTGTGTAAAGACAAGCTTTGTGGCCCGACAAGAACAGAACAATTATTTGTGGAAGGGTTGTCGAATTATTTGCATTGAGTATTCGTCATCATCATATTATTATTGTGCTAAAATTTCGACTGAATCATATCGAAGTTTTCTTCCAATTTCACATGTGCTAACGTCTTTTTTACACTGATGATAACTAACGTAATCTTCATAAATAATAAATGCACAAATATAAACGAACTAATCAGATAGAAGTCTGCGTCTATCTGTGATGTCTGAATGCTAGTATGATGGGTGCTTCGGCATTTGTTTGTAAAATAAAATCAAAACTTAAATTCTAACTGCAGTTTCTTAGCACAACAAATGTCTTGTCAATTTGCAGAGATGGTGACCTGTTAAGATTGTGCGCATATCTGAATTTACACCATGAGAAGTGTCATTCGAACTTCAGTCTAGTACGTCAAAATAATACTATAGGTTTGCAGTTGATCCACATTCTCACAAAACTAAGCTCAGTTGTCAGGTGTATTGCGCCTAGGAGCAACCCTGAAAATGGCTTGTTTAATTAAGTAATAATGTGTGTTTTTTTGTGTATAAAATCAGTTTCAGTTACTGTTGAGTCGCGCATGTTTAGAATGATGAAACAATTCTCAAGGACCGAATCAAGCGGAACAGTGTGTCACCCAAACGGCTTCCTTTAAGTAAAATCAAACACCAGTGAGCTTGTGAAGTCACACTTAATTGCACAGATGATGAAGGGGATCTGTAGTGCAGATGGACTATTCTATAAACAGAACAGTTTAACATTGAAATTCGATTATTCATCCAGAATGTTAAATGGTCCAAGTTGGGGTGAAAACACACCACGTCAAATGACTCATTCTCAGTCATTAGTGTTATGTCAGTCAAAGAATTTTTTCGACGAAATTTAGCGTGATGTCAGGTGGAGTGAGATTTAGTAATAGTGTGATGGCGTGATACAGACAATATTTCCATTTCGTTTAGTGTAAGCCAATATTACATATAAACTATATATAAATATATATAGCGGTTCGCTTACTTGAAAATATACCTTGGCATCCATGTCTGCCTGTCGGTACTCACAATATAAGAGACTTGAAATCCATGTATCTTCATACTCTAAAGTTTTACTGTATGAGCACACCTTTAATCGTTTAATATAAAGTGAATGAAGTGGCAATTTAGAATGCCGGGCCACTGAGCGAAGAAATGTTTAATTTTCAATCTGACCTTCCTCTTTACTCCAAAATGTACCGACATTTCAAAACAACAAGCAGTTAACCAGTCTAGTTAAGGTATGGTTTATAACGACAATTACTCAGTATTAACATCTGCAGGGACAGATAATTAACGAAAGAATTATTACACTTAAAAAAGTTGAGAAATGGTTACTATGACTGAATTGTATAGTGCATAATTTCGAGAGAAATGAAGAAATAATAGTGTGATCAATTTGCCTGCGTTTTAGATAATTAAGGAAATGTAGAATAGTTTGGACAATGGTAAAACAATATATATTACGGCGAGAGATGAAGATTTAAGTGAAAGTGACTATTTCTTCGCTCAATCGCTTTGGCTTCTAAATGTCTAAATGGGGATAGAGTGACCGGGGTAATCCAGTAATGACGTGACTATGAGCTCAGTGTATTCATCAACGTTAATATCATCGCTCGTCTTACATCGATGCTTACACTTCAGAGCTGCTTGCTGAAACGCATAAAGGCGTCTACATATTCTGAAGCGAACAATGAGTGTTGACTGGGACAATCGTTTTCATCATTCGAAGAGGGTGGAAGTTGATATCTAATTGCAGTAATCGCATATACATACGTGATTAATCAAAATATCCGTCTAATAGCGTGTACAGTTACACACATCAATGACAGAAAACATTTGTGATTCTAGTGGAATGACATTTACCTTGTTTTCACGAATATGTAGCAGTTGTCTATCATGGTAAGGTGAATTTGGAGAAACATCTCTTACAAATTCACCGATTTTTCAATGCTCGCCTTACAATTGTCATCATTTCTTGGAGAATAAGCTCGCTATTCGTCATTTTATTCGGCAGATTTCTTTCGTTGTTTTCGAAAACAGAGAATACTTGCGAGTTTGTACTTTTTTTTATTGCCGCCTTTCTCCTGAAACACAAACATCAAAAACACCACACAGTTTTGTGCTCGTGTTCTGATAGGTAGTGAATGAGTGATCCAATATTCGTAAGCTCTCTGTCTTCATGCATTACGATTACTGACCGTAAGAATCGAATTCATTAACTAACCACTGGTTAATTGTAACTTTACATGAATTGTTTATCGTGTTATATTATCTAAACGGTAATGAGTAAATTTGTGATATCAGTGGACATAGAATTCACAGAAGCTTGACTGGAAAATGTCAGCTCGATTTCGACGTAATCCTAAAAGAATTCGTTGAGAGTCAACCAGTATTTGCGATTGCAATTACTATTACAATTCGTGATGTAACATTCTCTATTGATCACTTCCGAATGCATATATTCGAGTGAGTAGTTTTTGTGTTCACAAATCCCACTGAACTTCCGGGCTGAATGTGGATTTTAGCTGACCTATGGTGTATAGAAATCGTGCAGAGTACACCAGAATACTCTAGTTAGCAAGAGGTGATACTGTTATTATTTTAGGTTGATTCTATCCTGGATAATCTTCCTTTCTCATGAATCCTCTAAATTCAACTTTGTCTCATTCAATCTTTTAGTTTTTCAACCACCTGCATAATGAATTGATAAGCCCACTTATCTTATGCACTCAACCAACATACAGAACGAGATAAGGATTTTCAACAAAAGTGTGAAGTCAGTCAATTCTTGACCAGCGCTTCATTAAAAGGATTTTCAACAGATTGGAGACTGTTATCAACAGCAGCCTCCACTGGCTCCATGCTGCACACCAAATAGTAAGTCAGAAGAATCAACATTTAGAGACTGTTGGAACAGCCAACCAAGAGCAGACTGCTTAACAACGTGACCTGACCAGTTGCGCGAATCACAGTGTAAGATGTCAATTATTCTTTTCATATTTACCCACACTGACAGAGCATTCGACGACGCACAGCATAGGCACGTCACAATGTGGTGCTTGTAAAGTGTATTCAGTGAATTTTTGTAATTCATACCATATTTTAGAAATATGCCTTGATTGCGTTTTTACGCATGGCTTAAACGTTCGCCTAAATAAATCGAAAAATTGATTAAAAATATCGTTCGGTGTCCACTAAACGAAATTCACTATCTATACTTCCCAGGAATTAGTTTCGTTAGGAAAGTCAAATGCATGAGAAACACATATATTTCCTTCAATTTGAAGTTATGTTGTCCTTGGTAAAACTTTGAGCCATCGGTAGCATTAATTTCGTTTGAAAAAAATTCACCTATATTGAAACTATGATGTTGTGATCCATTCCAACATTTTACTTTTACGTGCATAAAGACTTCATGAAAACTGTTGAGATTCAAAACGGAATTTTGATCACTGGTACGCTCAATAATGATTTCTATAACCATTAACAAAGTCAGTATATGTATATGCATATATTTCCGAAACCATTTCTAAGCCACATAAATCTGAAGCTACACAACGCTCCAGGTGAGTGAATCAGTGGTATGTCATCTCTGCTTGTTACGTTTGAATCAATTTATTTTTGAGTTTACTTAGATATGAGAGAATGGATGGTATCGATTATGGTCTAATTCTGATCACAGTTGATGGGCTTTATTCTATTTAAGACAATCAACAAAGGTTAACAGGCCAAAGTTTGTTGGCTTTATTAAATGTCAGTAGAAATTTAGAGCTGAATACTCTACACACAGAGGTATTCACACCATTAGAATAACATTGCTTGATAAAAGGCTGATAAGCGAATAAACTACACTGAATCAATCAGGCAACACAATAGGTAGGAATTCTTTTCAGGTCATGTTCACATATAAAAGTGGGAGTGTATGAGATTGAAATTAAGATAATAATGATTCATGACTCAGCTACTTCGCACAAATGAACAACTTGTTATCAGAGAATGAACTTGAAAATATCAAGCACTGCAAACTAATCAGTATCCATAGTGATACTATTGGTAATAATAAAAATTTTAAAACCAGTTAAGATAATGCTACTGATAAAGGATTTTTTTAAATGAATCAGGAATATCAATAACAGGTAGAATAGAATAAGGTTTTATTAATAATAATAATAACAGTTCACAAGTAAAACACGCTACCTGGGAAGATTCAGAGTAACTACCATTCCCTTCGGTAGGCTGAGGTTAGGCACATAAACTCCAATTACACAAACCTGCATAATTGCCAGCATCTTCGTGTTTTTTGTTTGTTGACTGACAAGAGTCAGTGACTTAATATTTTCAATATCATGTCCGTAGGCAACAGGGTGCCTCGTCATTGAAATTTTCGACACTTTGACTTGGCATATTTTCAACCAATTCTGCAAGTAATTCACCATTCGATGTGACAGTTGCCTTTCCGTTCAATTCATAATTTGTATTTATAAGGACACTCAGTGGGAAATATTCAGTTTCAGATGTCGATGGATCATTCTTATAGAAACTGCATTTAGTTGTGCTAGTGTGTCATGATTACTTTCGTGTTTTCAAAATATAATCGAAGTTGTATTCATGTTTTACATTCTATTTAAGCGCGTTCGTGCATATAATGATACATTTTCTCATGTCAGAAATGACCATTACGTGTAAATGACGAATTTTATCGAAACACTGTTTTACTGTTTTGAAAAGTGTAATGTTGAGAACAATGATCATATTCGTTCACTTAAGAATTATACTGTTTTCAACATTTAAAAATGAAACATTATGAGCCTCGTGTTCGACACCTACACTTGCACATTATTAAACAGTTTTAATTACGTCATCATATTTAGTTCTATACACAATTTTCAGGGTAATCAAGAATGTAAGATTTCGCTGCATCTTTTGTCAGTCCAAAAATAAGGTGTCAGAAAATAAAAAAATATTCTTCCATCAGCTATATTCCGATAAGAATTGCAGGATTTGTTAAATAAGCTATTTTATTCTTAGCTGATGTTCAATATAGTACTCTTGATACTGGTGACAGTGAGTTTGGTCCTCTTGTTTGTTTTTGTGTAAGGTTGAGTTAAAAAGGAATAAAATCGTATCTTGCTTTGCAGGCAAAGTATTCCAAAGTTTTTAAATGAACATTTCTACTTGGTCTTTATCATAATGTGAGTTGGCTTTTGAACATTTTTATTGATTAATTGAATTAATGATTCCTGAAATCGATGGAAAGTGCAA